TGGTAGGGACGAATCTCTCCCACTCACGCCCCCCAAGTAAGCACACAGAGGCTTATATTAATTATAACTGCTTGGCCATTAGCTCAGGCTTATTACTGACTAGCTCTTACTCTTAATTTAACCCATAATTCTTATTTATGTTTAGCCATGTGGCTTGGTACCTTTTCTCAGTTCTGCCTTGTTATCTTGCTTCCTCTGTGTCTGGCTGGTGACTCCTGGTTCAGCCCTTCCTCTTCCCAGAATTCTCCTTGTCTACTCACCCCACCTATACTTCTTGCCTGGCTACTGGTCAATCAGCATTTTATTTATCAACCAATCAGAGCAACACATATTCACAGAATACAGAACAACATCCCACAGCATATTGGTACATGTGAACTCATAGTAGTTATGACAGTGTGTAGAAAACCTGTGAAAGCCCAAGCCAGACCAAATACCAGCATGGAAAATAGAGGTGGGTGTGAGGTCCCATCCCTTAGTCAAGGAGCTATTGGCAATTCATAGCTTCTGGAAGAAGGAGAGTCCATTTTCTCAAGAGTGTAGGCCCTGGTAAGTTGACCACATACTAGTGGAAGGCCACATACCCAAGAATATATGGGGAGCTCCAATTGGACTTGATAGGTTTTTTTTAAGTTTGATATATATATATATATGTAATATATATGTATATATGATATATGTATGCACACATGCACACACATATATGTTTCTGTCCTTCAGATATATATATATATATATATATATATATGTGTGTGTGTGTGTGTGTGTGTGTGTGTGTGTGTGTGTGTGTGTATGTGTGTATTACATATGTTCTGAAACTCAAGAATAAGGCATTTGTAAAGTCTATTCCATGGGAGGTATATATAGAGAGAGATTCAATAATGTAATCAGGACTCCAGTTGCATAGGATTTTATAATAGACAAGATGTCAACCATTTGAATTGCATTTGGCAGTAGGCAGAGAAAAATGCTACATTTTAAAATAAACAACTTGGATCATGAACCAAATTTGCTTCTGAATATCACATTATAGAAGCTGCCAGATTTCCAGTCTGCATTAATAGGTTTAGAATTATTTTGTTGGAGCTGGGGAAATGAACTTTTGGGTTTGTAATTTATAGTGTTTCTTCTGGATTTTGTGATTGCTATCAGCTGTTCTTTCTTACTTGCAGAAATCTAATAATAGTAAAATAAGGACACTGGTACAGACCAGGGGAAGTAGTGAGAAATAGGGAGCAATTCCTAAAAGCTATTGCCTTGCTTTCTATTGAGTTTCTATGCCAATAATCACAAAATTGATAGGTTTTTTTTCTTTAAAGAGAAACAATATTGGGTAGGTAGGAAAGAGGTTTTTGGATCTGGAGGAGTTAGGGGAGAGGGGGTAAATATGTTCAAAACATGTTGTATGAACTTCTCCAAGGAGAGAATAACATTTATTTTAAGTATTTAAATATTTAACATATAAATAAATACTGACAAAGATATTTTTACAAAAGAAAATAATCCTTAAGAGTAAATTTATAGTCTCTGAGGATGATGTCAAAATTTCACAACTCACTGAATTGGCACAATACCCCAGAGAATTGCACTTGATCTTATTTTCAGTACTTTAATTCTCTCACTATGGGATTGGCATTGGTTTCAGTGTAACTTTTATTTGGGTTTAGGTAGCAATATCTGCTCACCAGATATGTGAGTACTAATGTAATAAAAATAATAAAGCAACTAATGTACTCAAAAAACAAATATCCTTTCCACAACAAGGGAATGTTGTTGCAAGTGGTATCTCCTACAGCCAATAAGTAACCCAGAGTGTCTATTGGTCTCCTTTGGATCTTAGATGTAATATAATCCTCAATTGGTTGTGTTGCTCTCATTCACTTAATCCTTCCTACCCCTTAAACACTGCTAGTTTTGAATGATTCACAGAATAAAAGCAAGTGCTGTAAAATTCTAGGCTGCTGGGGATGTTCTGTTCTGTAGCCCATATCAAGTAGCAGATCCATTGGTACTTAATGTACCACTGGCAGGTTCAAATCCTTTGACAAGTCCCTGTGGATAAATTACATCCCAGATGCTGAGGATTTTGGAACAAGACCATGACATTCTCTTCAGACAAAAGAGGCCTCCAAGAAGTAGTTCTTGGCTTTATATTTGGTCTCAGAAGAGAATAATGGTTAACCACAGGTCACCAAGTAACCACGCAACCTGAGTATCCCATCATGAACTCAGTGTTATTAGCCTCCTGCCCCCCCAAGCCATAAAGTCAGCTACAAGGATTAAGCAGCTCAAATGCCCATGGTCTCTAGTGTTACAATAGTTCTCTTCCACCTTTACCCTGGTCTCCCAGGGGAATGCCCTCTGATAAACTGACAGGTTAAGAAAAGACTTGGCCTATTTTAGAAATGCTATCTGCAAGTGGCTGTGGTTGTGTTACAGCCATTTGTAGGGGTAGATCTGAAGGATAACGGTAAAAGGAAATCTCAGCAGGCAGAAGTTTGAGCAGTATAACTTCTTGTTCACTTTACTTTGGAGAACTAGTGGCCAGCCAAATGAGTCCACACCAATTTGTGGGCTGTAGCTTATAGTGTCACCGGGAGAGCAGCAACTGGGATGAACAGGACTAGATGACTGGAAATTTAGAGTGTGAGTAGGCTTTCATGAATGGGGGAAGCTTGAAAATATGTGTCTCATGTAAATGTTCACCAAAGAGTTATTTCAATGGAAGACAATTTAGCAATTGAGTATATGGGAACCAGTTAGTCCTTTGGGTACCAGTTAGTCTTTTTCCCCAAGCACTCTTTGCTGTCACACAATGATCTCATGAGCAAAGTGGTTCTCACAGTAGAATAGAGATTATCCATGAATTCAGCAACCTGACTTCTGAGCACCGAGGTTGACCCAGTCATGGCTGTTGAGCCACTTTGTCGGCAGCTGAGATCTATTAGCTGCCATACGGTTTATTTTAGTTGGCTTCTTCCATCATGAAAGAGGTAGCATTTCCTCCTTGCTGGACTAGCCACTAAACAGACCAGATAAGAACTTGTCTTCTTTGTGTATAATATTTCTGTCTTGGAATTTCCTGAGCGATAAGGACCGTCTCTTTGTGATTCATCATAGACCCTGAGAGTTTAACAGAATGACTCATGGTGGGACATTTGGTAGTTAGCATTAATGAAATGACTCAGGATACGGATCTGGTCACTCAGAAAAGCCAACCACATAATTAGAGGGATTGGGGCTTTGAGCCACAGTGATACATATTGACCTGGCCTCTAGAAAGCAATGGAGGGAGTTGTGTTCAAACACATGGACTGGACAGTATTCCTATCAGTGTTGCTCATGTATTGAAATCACAATAAAACCCTGGAGCATGGCAAATGGATGGGCTTCACTAATTGGTACTTCTCTGCATGTTGTCATGCATAAAAGGGCAGGAGAATAATGACAAGTATGTGGGGGAGAGAATAGTAGAGGCTTCAAATCTGGAACCATCCCAGAACTTACCTTGTGCATATAGTTGATTTTTTTACTCTTTGGGGGGCCTGCCACCCAGCACCCACATAAATACACAGAGACTTTTTCTTACTTATGAATGCCTGGCCTTAGCTTGGCTTGTTTCTAGCCAGTTTTTCTAACTTAAATTAACCCATTTCTCTTTGTCTACATTTTGCCTCTGGGCTTTTTACCTTTCTTTATATATCTTTTCCCCATTCTTACTCGGTTGCTGGCTGTGTGGCTGTATGGCTGGCCCCTGGTCTGGTGTCCTTCTTCTTTTCTTGCTCCTCCCTCCTCTTCTCTCTTTTTCTATATATTCTCTCTGCCTGGCAGCTATGCCTATCCTTTCTCCTGCCTCACTATTGACTGCTCAGCTCTTTATTAGACCAATCAGGTGTTCTAGGCAGGCAAAGTGACACAGCTTCACAGAATTAAATAGATGCAACATAAAAGAACTCAACACACCATTGCATCATTAAACAAATATTTCACAGCATAAACAAATGTAACACATCTTAAACTAATATTCCACATGTGCATTTCTCTCTTTAATTTGGTCATAAATATTGTAATGATCAATATAGTGCTGTCAAGTATTCTAGTAAATTATCCAGCCTGTAGGGATTGTAAGAAATGGCCTTCCCAGAGTTTTCTGGTGGTTAGTCAGAGTAAGGATGGCCTCCACGGTTGACCCCTACACTTCTAGATGGTGCCTACAGGGCTGTGTTTTAACTTGAGAAGTTTGGCCCAGCTTAGGGTAGTTGATGTCCAATTGATTTATTTAAGCATATTGATGGGGTATCATCTAAATCCTTTTCCTTACTGTTCATACACTGTGTGTCAAAAGCCACAATGATGCTGAGAATGGGGGTAGGTCAAGCAGAACAAGATTAATATCAGAATCCCCACCATATGGAACCTATAGCTTTGAGGACTACCTATCCTGAAGTGCATAGGGATTCTTTGAAGCAACGAGGCTACATTAACTGTTGAGCTGCAGAATTTCTTTCTGAGGTTTTTGAAGTAGAGATATTGGATGGTATCTCCTCAAATGAGATTAGAATTTAAGAACTCACCACAGCCATGGGGGCAATGAGTTTAATTGACCATAGAAAGGTAGTGGACATCTAAGGGCATTCTATAACTTCTGCTCAACCACCAAGAGTTTTAATGTGACCCAATTATAGCATTTGGAATCCGTTAATATATTTAAATCATACTGATACTCTTCTTTGGAAGATTATGAACTCAAGACAAAGGAATGTGTTTGAGAGCTGTTTTGAGGTAACTGTGTGGCTAAAAGATGGAGCAGAAGGAGTGGCTTGGCTGCCTTGAAGATCTATAATAGTTTTTTTGGTTGTTGTAAGTCGTGCTTCTAAGGTGAAGTAATGGGATAAGTGTAAGATGAGAAGTAAGAGACAAGCAGATGATAGGAAGAGATAAGTGGAGGCCTCATTCTAGTCTCTTTTTATTCAAGTTTACTCTTGTTTTCCTGAGTCTAGGTTACGAAGACTTCTGATTTAACCCTCTCTTATTGGAATAGATTGAGCTGTATCTCTCCCCACTCCCACACGAAGTTCATGCGCTGAAGTCCTGACCCTCAATGTGATGGGAACTGTAAGTATTTTGGGATGGGTCCTTTGGGAGATAATTGGATTTAGAAGAAGAGGTCAAGGTGGAGCCTTCATAATGGGATTAGCGCCTTCCTGACTGACAGACAACAGAGTCCTCATGTGCAGTGTCAGGACATAGCAAGAAGGCACCTACAAGTCTGGAAGAGAGCCCAGGAAGGAAATTGGACAATTAGGTGGCGCTTTGATTGCTGTGGGATGTTCTGTATGGCAAATGTGTTGCTCTGATTGGTCAATAAATAAAACACTGATTGACCAGTGGCCAGGCAGGAAGTATAGGCAGGACTAACAGAGAGGAGAAAAGAAAGGACAGGAAGGCAGAAGGAGTCACTGCCAGCCGCCACGATGACAAACAGCATGTGAAAATGCCGGTAAGCCACGAGCCACGTGGCAAGGTATAGATTTATAGAAATGGATTAATTTAAGCTGTAAGAACAGTTAGCAAAAAGCCTGCCATGGCCATACAGTTTGTAACCAATATAAGTCTCTGTGTTTTCTTGGTTGGGTCTGAGCGGCTGTGGGACTGGCAGGTGAGAGAGATTTGTCCTGACTGTGGGCCAGGCAGGAAAACTCTAGCTACATGTGATCTTAGATTTGCTCCCAGTGTCTGGAGCTGTGAAAATAAATTTCTATTCTTTTTTTTTTTAATTTGAGACAAAGTCTTATATTCTACCCTGGGTTGTTCTGGAGTTATGTATCACACTCCAGCCTCAGACTTGTAGTGATATTCATGGCTGGAGCTCTGCTAGGATTACAGATGTGATCCATTATACCCGGCTAAATTTCTGTCCCTAAGCCAGTGGAATTTCACTTCAGAATCTCAAGCAGACTGAAGTCTGGCCACTGCTGTTTTGGCCAGAATCTGGTAATTGCTTACTAATAAATAGTTTAGGTTGACATTTTTGTCTGTTTTTGGAGGTGGGGACAGAAAGTGACAACCCAAAGTGAAAGGGTGTGAAGAGGACTTGGGAGCAAAGTTTCTCTCTGAGCTTTTCCTCTCTCTCTCTCTCTCTCTCTCTCTCTCTCTCTCTCTCTCTCTCTCTCTCTCTCTCTCGCTCTCTCGCTCTCTCTCTCTCTCTCTCTCTGAAAAGATATAGAAGTAGAGTTTTTTTTCCCAAAGCAGGACAGAGAAACCTGCAATCCTGTTCCTCTAAATTATGACACACAGTTTTTCCCCTACCTTTCAGTGGAAGGATTAGCAGTAAAGAAAACTTCAGAGCTGCTTTATGTGATTGCACATCATGTATCTCCCACACTCCCCAAAGGACCTGCTCTATACCCAGAAGAAAGGACTGCTCCAGAAAGAAGTCATGAAGAATTGAAACAGAGAGACCTTGCCTGCCATCTGTTACATTCCCCTTTGTCCAGGCATCTCCCACGTCTACATGGTTGTCCATATCTCATTATCTTATTCATAAAATGGGTGGTTCATCCTGATTCTACAGGCCTTAAGCTTGGTTTCCTTTGTCAAGTAAACCTATGGTTGAATAAATTTGCTATGCTTTTCTCTTATTAACCTGCCTTTTGTAACAGAGGTATCAGCCACAGCACCCATCATGAAGGCATAAAAGGGATCTCCTTCCTTTCTGCACATACAGAATAGTTCTTTAAGTCTCTGTGGACATGTTGATGGGCACTGTTATCATTCTACTACTCAAACTAAGAGGTTCAGTGCTGGCGTTTGGGACTTCCTTCATCTTTTCAAAGAAGAGTTATGAGCAGTAGCTTTTCTTTCTCATCTCCACTTTTTTTCTTTTAATGAAACTAACAGCATTTCATCAGGGAGCTTCCTGACTTATATTCCCACACTATGTGTTCTCTGGAAGCTTGAAGGGAGATGCTGGGAAGCTGTGGTCAGGGGGAAAGGGGGAAAATCAGACAGATGATGACAATGATGTATGACAAGGTAAAGCAAAAAAAAAAAAATATGTCCCTTAGCTATGAGGTTAGGGACTAAACTAATACAGAACTCCAAGAAGTCTCAGTGGGTTCTGGGAAGAACTTGTTGCTCCATTGATAACGTGTCTAATTAGTCAATGCTATGAACTACTTGTCTCCAAACAAAAATCCACTTGCCATCTTACTCTGTCTTTTCCACTGAACTTATTAACAAAGGAATCCAAAGAAGGCCACACCCTCATTATGACAACTGTAAACTTGACAATGCAGTGGTATGGAATAGGACTAAGCAATAACATCAGAAAAGTAAGCAATGCTTCTCCAGGGGATTGCCAAGAAGGGAAGTAGGTAGAAGGAGGCTTGAGCGCCTCCTAGAGGCCGTCAGCAATAACATTTCTATAAATTAAGTTTCTATTATAAAACTTATTTTGCTTACAACTTTCCTACTCCCATTATCCTGTCAAAGTTTATTCACTATGTTGAGGAGCATTAAAAGAATCTGAGAAATCAAAAAGAAAGTGTAAATAAACAACAGCATTTTAAGAAGGAAGGCATAAGGTAGCACTATAATTATATGTGGATTAGACCTATGCTAAAAGCATTATAATATGGTCCTGCTGACCTCAATTATATATATATATATATATATGTATATATATGTATATATATATATATATACACACACACACACATTGTACACACACACACACACACACACACACACACATTGTACACACACACACACACACACACACACACTGGTTGCATGAAAAAAAAAGAACAGAACACAAGAGCAGTCTTGTTCCGTTTTCTTTGTCCTCCTCAGGACAGTAAAATCAGACTCTCTGGTGATGGGGGAAATGTGTTTGATTGTTTGTTCTGGAGAAAGCCTCACTCTACAGCCCAGGTTGCCCGAAATTCATTATGTAGTCCAGGATAGTTTCAAACTCTTAGAAATCCTCCTGCCACAGCATCCCTAGTGCAGACTGCAGATGCCATTTTGTAACACTTAGCTGATGCCATTCTTTCTAGATGAGTTCATTCACTGATGTTTCAGGGTCCTTGCTCTTGACCTCCATCCTAAACAGATGGGTTTCAGAGCTGAGTTCTTGTGGTTGGGATGGATGCTACTGCAATGCAGATATAGAATTTGAAGAAAGGTTTGAAGAAATAAACAAAAAATAAAACAAAACAAACAAACAAAAAATCAGCACCTGGTGGCTGATCTGTCTGTGAGGAAAGGTAAGGTTTAAATTGAGCAAAATCGAGGAGTTGATAATAACAAAACAAGATAAAACACAATAAGAGAAAAAACACTAAAAATATTCATAAATGCACAGAAGTAGAGGGATGGAATTTTCTATAGCTGCCTGTAGCTGAGTCCATGGATAGAAGAAATACAAATGTTCAAGGTGCTTCTGAAATTTAGCCCACTGGAAGCTTGTATGAAAAGAAACCCCTTTTCATCTGTGACCTCTCAGACACATTGTAATTGGGATTTAAAAAAAAAATTTTGTTTTTTGAGACAGGGTTTCCCTGTGTGACAGTCCCAGTGTCCTGGAACTCATTTTTTAGACAAGGCTGGCCTCGAACTCACAGAGATCTGCCTGCCTCTGCCTCCCCCAGTACTGGGATTAAAGGAGTGCACCACCACCCAGGATAATAAGAATTTGTATCAGAAGTATCCATGGAGCTACTCCATGGTGTTCTGTGAAATAACTCCCGCATTTTTTTTCCTTCCTGAAGGAGAGGGGTCAAGCCTAGGGCCTAAGCATGCTAGACAAGTGCTCCATGACGAAGCTTAGCCTGCTGCAGGTTCTTCTAAGCTTAGAGGAGTCTCCCTTGCTCTCACTGCTGCTCACTTCTCCCCCTGATGCCCAAGTGCTGTTTTCTATCAGGGTTTTGTGGGGACTGCTTCCAGGGGTCAAGCACACAGCCTGCTCTGTTTGGAAGGGCTGTTTTCCTAACCCGAGCCCATGCTATTTTGTAGCATAGAGAAGATAGTGAGTGCCCTGTGCAAACTAAACAAGCATCCCTCCACCTGGACTCAGGACAAGGCAGCAGCAAGCATCCATTTCATATCCTATAAACAGCTATTCCAAAGGAGAGGGAAATCAGAAACCCAATTATGGGAGGGCTCTGTATCTATCTGTGCTTATTCAATGATTTCAACAATTATAAATTTTGAATTCTGGGTGAGGTTTCACATACATAACTAATGTATGAAGATGTTTTGATTTTGAAATGAAGCTGTTTAGTCTTAATCCCGTTCTCCTGTAACATATGTGCTTTAAACAATTAAGACAAAATAACTTCAGGAAGATTCGCCCTTTACTTCCTTCCTGTCTTTCTTTCTATCATAAGAATGAAGGACTGGAATTATCACAGAGTGGAAACTGGACACGTGGACATTTTGCAGAGTTAAACATGAGACACTGGACCTTGTTATTGAAGCAAGAACTTCAGTAGGGACAGTTTTGTTCCTTTTTTCACAGTGGTGGGCTTTATAAGATGGATTGAATGATACCAAGGCCTTAAACATTGCATCCTCAAAAGTACTACTGTTGTAATAATCACAACGATGTTATATTCCAGGCACTTCATTATGTCTTTTCCATATATTTCTCTTCTAATCCACAGAGTAGTTCTGTGGCATAGAAATTGTTATCAAGGAAAATAAAGCTTAGAAGAGATTAGCTGGTGCAAGGTGCCGTGGCCGTCATTGATACTCAGATCAGATCTTTTCATCATTCTGATCAGATTGCTCAAGGGACCACGTAAGTGAGCCCTTCCCAGTTGTGTCCCATTCATCCAATGAAAAGGCATTGAGTACCATCAGTGGAAAGGGGGAAGGGGTTCAAGAAGAAATAAGAGCACACTCCGCCTTCAAGGACTTAAACAGATCAAGTTCCCTTACTTTGTCTTGTAACAAATTCCTTTCAGATCTTTGTTGGGCAACCAGTAAGTAGAAACTATGAAGTGTACAGGGCACCTGCAGTGAAATGGTGGGGATTGCCTCAGGTGAATGCACAATTCTGGGAGCAGAGTCACTGTGTCTTGACCAATTCCACATTTTGATGTTTTAAATACTTCTAATCTCTGTGAGTCTCTGGGCTCCCTTTTTGCTTCCTCCTCAAAGATTTTTCAGAACATAGGTGTTTCAGGATTGGCTGTGGAGCTCCAATGCTGACCACCAGTTTCTATAGGGATCTTGGGTGGAGCCTCAGAATTTACACATCTGACATCTTACCTGTTTATCTGGACAATGCTGGTGTAGGTATTATATGTCAAGAACCCTTATCAGGTCATATGTGCATATTTTTAGCCTTCCTGGTTATGAAATGATTCTTTCTGGTGGGGTCCATAGTAAGCTTAACCTGTCTACAGATGTTTTATCCTAAAGCCCAAGATCTCACCCTGCTTTCATACTTTCTATTCTTCCAAAAATATTTTTTGAAATATTTGTTAAGAAACTGTAGATATTAAAATGAATAACCTTATGCTTGGAGGTTTTATGTATCTAAGACAAATTTCTGCTCTTAACCTCTACTTCATATTATCAATATAATCTAATAATTAAAAATGATAATGCTCTCATTTATTTCAAGATGATGAGCTATATTATAAATCAAACTAAAAATATCATCTAAATTTTATTAATGTATAGCTGGAGTTTTCCTGTGTCCACCCAGCCCCTGTAGCTGCTCAGACCCAAGTAAACACACAGAGACTTACATTACTTATGAATTGTATGACTGTGGCAGGCTTCTTGCTTTCTAGTTCTTATATCTTAAATTAACCCATTTCTATAAATCTATACCTTGCCACATGGCTCATGGCTTACCGGTATCCTTATATCTTGCCTCTCATAGCAGTGGTGTCTGGTGGTGTCTCCTGGCTCAGCCTTCTACCTCCCAGAATTCTCTTCTCTGCTTATCCCACCTATACTATACTTCCTGCCTGGCTACTGGCCAATCAGCATTTTTATTTATCAATCAATCAATCAGAGCAACACATTCACAGCATCCCCAGCATTAATGTACTATGACTTAGTTAAATAATTCAAAAGTTTTTGTAGAACAACTGAATAAAAACCCTCAATCAACAGACAGAAATGAAATATCTTAATTTACCTGCTTGATGTTATCCAGAGAATAGTTACTGACTATCCATATATGGTTGCACAGATACAAGGTAGTAGCCATAAATAGATGTATTGGTCAACTTTTAAAAGTTTAAACTATGATGATGTATGCTCAGTATTCAACTTTTGGGAATAAATATGTGTATCTAATTTCTTCAGAGTTTTGGTATCATATTGTGGTTATGAGTTATCAGTGTGACCTTTCTCCTTAGTACCATCACTAATATTTAATGTGCTTGCTAAACAGGAAGTGCTGTGGCTGTTGTTAATCATGCATTATTTTTTACTTCTCACAGAATCTGTTAAGCAGGTACTGCTGTTATTTCCAATTTGCTAAAGCTGAATACTACAGTGTTGGTGATGAGTTGGTGGTGTTATTGTGAAGGGCAGAAAGCTTTGGTGTCCCAGTGTACAGGCTTGTGCTTTGGGGGTGGGGTTGTCCTTCCAAATGAGTGGGTGGACTCAGGTC